CCGCCATCAGACTCTCCCCTAGTCTTGCATCTTTTAAGAAGTGCCTTAAAACCCATCTCTTTAGGAAAACTTATGGCCTCCAAGACTAACCCCTACCTCACATACCTGTCTCTTGTCCTCTCCTAAAGGGCAGCCCACCTTATTTGATTGCAAATTCTTGTCCTACTGTGTTTTACACCCCACCTCCTATAGAATGTAAGCTCGATTGAGCAGGGTCCTCTTCAACCTATTGTTCCTGTAAGTTTATTTGTAATTGTCCTATTTATAGTTAAATCCCCTCTCATAATATTGTAAAGCGCTACGGATTCTGTTGGCGCTATATAAATGGCAATAATAATAATAATAATAATAATAATAATAATAATAATAATAATAATAATAATAATGTCTTGAAATAGCAGGATACTTTCTAATAGATTGATGGCACTCCAAGGAATGTGTTTGTTTGTTTGTTTGTTTTTTTTTAAACCCAAATCAGTATTTTTTTTTTGTGGGTAAGATTTTTGTACAGAACCATGCTCCTTTATTCATGCTCTGAGAGCTTGCTACACAAGTAGAAAAAGAGTGTTTGTCTAAAAGATTCCAAAAATGGCAAGCACAAGCAGTTCACTCTATGGATCGTTTATACACCTATAACATTTATTTGAATGTATTTATTAAGGCAGTAGCCTGGAGTTGCAGGAGAATTTGTCTGGATATTTACAGGACCACTATCATATCTACAGACACCGTCCAATGCTGGCTCACAATGAATTGTGGGGTTGCTAGGGTAGGACTTCAAGTTCCAGGGTTTTGGCAGGTACTGGTGCAAAGCACAGACTGCTTCCAAGACACTGGAGATTGTACATAGGAGGTCTGGCCCCCAGTCAGTCTACCTTGGCTATTTGGAGCAGATATGCAGCAGAAACCCCTTTTTCGCACCATTTCCGCTCAACCACACTACTATTGTTTAACTCCAAGGAGAGGGCAAGCAGCAGAAAGTCAGACTCTCCACGCAGCTCATACGGTCAAAGGAGGTCCTGAGTCACACAGTCCCTGGTATTATGGCTCCTTATCCTCAAGTCACTCGACCCAACCATAGATAGAGACTTGGCACCTAGCATTGCCTCACCTGTCACCCGCCTAGGTAGTGCTTTACCTCTTGGACCTAGGTGGTCATCTAGTTTAGGGTGGTGGGGAAGCATTCTCTTTTCGCACGCTTGGTTAAATTCTCCATAGTACTAGATTTCTCAGAAATCGGAAGAAAGCGATGCATTCTCCATCTCTAAAACCCAGGATTCTGCAAGTGCAAGTTCCATATGACTATAACGAGGATCACAGAAGAACCAAAGAGAAGAATATCCCATTCCCAGCCATAGCCAGGAAAGCTGAAGTATTCAGAGGAAGAAAAGGAACAACCTGAGAATGAAGGAACTAACAGCGAAGGGACCATTAGTAACAGCCTGGCAGAATTGCCACCAGGGATGGTAGACATAATGCTGCAAGCCCTGGTGGTCCAGTGATGGCATGTTCACTTTTGCCTGCAACTCCAGGTGGAATTTTTTTTTTATTATTCATTCTTCACTTTTATTGTGCAGGTGGGTACATAAACAAACGCCACAACAGCGTACATAGAAGTAGGCAGGTTAGACTCTGTATAACTGATGAGTTTCAATTAAGTGTTCTAGTATAAATGAGAAACCGTAATGTAGTACAGGCTAGTGTCTTGTGTTAAACAGGCTGTGTATATGTTAGCATTAGTGCATTACAAGATTGTGTCTTGTGGTAGATAGGCTGGAGACGTGCTAGCAGTAGTGTATGACAAGCTTGCGTCTAGTGGTAAACAGGCTGGGTACATGTTAGCAATAGTGTATGACATGCGTGAGTCTTGTGAAATTAGCTGAAAAAAACCCCAAAACATATAGAAACAATAAGCCATCCCCAGTCACTGACATGGGCAGCATGAGGTATAAACGCTCATCTCATCTGCAGTGATAAGTGTCCCGGTCAGCCAACTCCTGCCGCGGGTATGTCACAGTCCTGGTCAAGTATAGAATATTCAGTAAGGGGCATCTGCCCATGTCTCCTCTAGCCGCTTGTCGGAGCTCCGTGTCTCTTGCCGCCAGGCTAGGGTATGGGAGAGGGCTCTTCATGGTTGTCGTGCCTGGCGTTGGTGGAGGCTTGAGTGCGGCTGGCTTCAACCTGCTTGGGAGTTTGGCAGTGGTAGGAGTGGTGCGGGTTTGGGTCTCGTTATGGAGTCTCGCTGTTTTTGGCGTGCCGTTTTTGGTTCCTCGTGCCTCTGATCCGTGCACGTGGGGGTAGTGTCGTCGGTGAGAGTTCGACTGGAGGGTTTGTTGCAGCCTGTCGTTCGCCCAGCTTGCGCCAGAAAGCCACAAGTAAGGCATCCAGCCTCTCCAGCATGTCATCTTGTCTTTTCATGGTGAATGGCTCTTGGTCGTTCACCACCATTTTGTGGCTGGATCGACTCTGCTGAGCTTGGTGCCCCAACACCCGACGGGGCCCTCCTGTGACTGGGATAACCCCCATCGGTCCTTGGGGGGAAAGGGAGGAAGCAGGGGGTACACATGTAGTGGTTGTGGCACCGTGAGCGCAGAGGCGGCCACCCCCACGCCCTGCCGTGTCATTATGCCGCAGGAGCGGGCCGGAGACTTAGTGTGGATGGGCCTCATGAAATGTCCCCAGGTAGGTCCGGTTCTGTTTACGTGGGCAGTATGTGTCGTCCCGCTGAAACATGCAGTTTTTAGGTAATGATAGTAAACTATCTCTGGCACCTTACCACACAGCGACAGATCTCAACAAGTGGCAAAGATGCAAATTGGAAGGGAGGTTCAGGTTTCTTCATACTGTTAACTCTCAGTAGTTTGGACCAGCAGCAACCTCAACTAGATTTGTGGCTGTTTACACTATTAACCCAAAGTTTCCAGGCATCAGAAACAAAAGAAGTGGTTATTTCACAAAGCCTTGTTTGAAGTCTCTACAATTGTGGCAGCTGCTCAGTATGGACTGGCCATACAGTTAAAGTGTTTTTTCCCTGGCTTATTAGCTTGTCACATTATAAACAAAAGGACATTCCCTTCTATGGAGATACTTATCAAGTGCTTTATGGCTTGCATCCAGACATCCAGTTCTTTTTAGTATGTGCTTCTTATTTTGTCACCCATAGGCTTAAAATTATACCTCACCAGGGTACAAAATCATATACAAATGATGGCCTTATTTATATTTTGGATAAACTTTTAAAACTATCAAATTATCTAATATATTGAAAAATATTTACATTAAAAAAGGTTTACTGTGACACTGTATTCCAAATTTCAAATTTAGATATTTTTTAATGTTAATATTTTCAATATATTAGATAATTTAAAAAAAACAAATCCCCCCCCCCAACATTTAGTATATGACAGCATTCTTCGGCCATTTATATGCACCTTTGGTCAGACCTTGTTTGAAAACAGTCTCTGGTCTTCCCTACTTCACTCCCTGCACATAAACTAGAAAGATAGGTTTTTCAAACACTGTCTGACCCAAGGTACATTGATATGGCTGAAGGATACTAAAGATTGGGATGAGATTTTCCTCATTTTTGTACATGTATTTAAAATTATACACTTACTTTCAAAACTTGTTGAAAGGATAGTTATACTAAAAATAGTTTTGAAGTGACAGTTGTCCTTTAAGGATCCAAAAATCTTACGAGTCTTAGTGCTTTCTATATTCTGTCTCGATTACATAGACCAGCGTTTCCTAATTATTGTTCCACAAAACCCAAGGGTTCCAGGAGAACAACATTGGGGTTCTGCGGCATTTTGCCACAAAGATGGCCGCCGCTACCTGCTGTTCCTGTTAGATCAGAAACCGCAAAGATCCGGCAACAGCAATCTCATGAGAGATCGCAGGAGTGTAATCTTAAGCCATCCCTGCTGTCAGCACGCCTGCCCATCAGCCAGCCACTTAGACTTAGCTCGTCCATGAGAGAGCCTGCCCAGCCATCAGCCAGCCATATTCTATCACGCGTGGTAGAAGAGTGATAAAGAGTGGAGCTGATGGGTAGGGAAATAGAAAAAAGACTGTCAGGGGCAAAAAACGGTTAACTGTATTTTTCAAAGTGTTCAAATCTTTTTGCTCAAAGTCGAACTCAAAAATCCTGCTTAAAAGGACCACTATAGTGCCAGGAAAACTTACTAGTTTTCCTGGCACTATAGTGCCCTGAGGGTGCCCCCACCCTTAGGGTCCCCCTCCCGCCGGGCTCTGGGGAGAGGAAGGGGTTAAACTTACCTCTTTCTCCAGCGCTGGGCGGGGAGCTCTCCTCCTCCTCCCTCTTCTCCTCTTCGGCTGAATGCGCATGCGCGGCAGGAGCTGCACACGCATTCAGCCAGTCCATAGCTGAAGTGGTCTGGGTGCCTAGAGTGGTCCTTTAAGTAGAGTTCTTTTTAAGAGCGTTATCAAAATCAGAATCCTTTTCAGTCAGGTTGTGAGATCTGTATTTTTCAAACTGTTGTTTTGGGGTTTTTTTTAGCCAATAAACCACCATGACCTTGGAAAGCTGGTTAAAGCAGGGAACTCTTCAGAGAAAATTACTACTACTTCTACCTCTTTGGCACTTACAGAAACAGAGAAAGAAGATACAACTAAAAATCCAGAAAACATGCCCGAAATAGTTGTCCCTGCTATTTGAGGAACAGTAGATTCAAGTGACAAGTCAAAAAATAAATAGCACACAATGCTAACCAAACTTCTCAAACAAAGAAAAGAAAAAGAAAATATGATGATAGCTACTTGTTATTTGGATTCACAAGTGCCAGAAATGAAGATTGTTCTGAAGCACAATGCGTACTTTGCAATAAAATATTGCCAAACAGTTCATTAGCATCTGTTAAATTAGTCGTCATTTTGAGCAAAACCACGCAGAGTACAAAGATAAAGACACTGACTTTTTAAAGCAAAAGCTAAAAAGGAGTATCAGAAGAGTAACATTTTATGATTTAAAAAAAAAAAAAAAAGTCAAAATGCTAATGAAAAAGCCACAGAGGCTTCTTACAATGAGTTACCTCATAGCACTTGCAGGAGAAGCACACACACACACACACACACACACACACATAATTGGGGAATCACTAATAAAGCCATATGCAAACTAAATTGTGCCATGTATTTTAAGTGAGAAGTTGAGTAAAACAATGAAACTGAGCCACTTTCCAACAACACAGTTTTGCGCCGTATTCATGATCTTGTTGATGACATCCATACTGACATTCCAGGAACTCCCCTTGCTGGCACTGCTATGGACGGCTATTCCGTCCATGTGATCGCGAGGTCCTCACAAGGACCTCGCGATCACATGGCCCAGGAGGGCCGGATCAGACACAGGGGGACTCCCTGGGATGCCAGGTAAGTTCCCCCATCGCGATCGCCGGCAAGCAGGTAAGTGAATAGGACGTACTATGATGCCCGCCGTCCTTAAGTGGTTAAACAGCGCAATCAGGCCCCTTGCTTATGGACAGCATAGGAGTAAGTGACAGGTTGTCGCTTCCTCCCAAAAACTGGAGCAACACGGGGGAAGGCAGCTAACATGGGACCAGGCCGTGAGAGACAGGAGAGGAGGGGGTGCAGGCTGCAAGAGCCAACCTCTAACTCCCAACATCCTCAGTCTGCAGACTGGATATCATGGAAGCCACTCTACAGCACCCAAAAAGGTAGGAAACTGTAGGGTGGCTATGAAAGTGTATATATGTCTGTATCTGTGTGTCTGTCGGTGTATGTGCATCTGCAGCCTGAATTTTAGCCTATTTGAATTTTGTCCCCTACCTACTGCCAAATTTTGTGCAGGTCTGCACCATGGGAAGAAGGAAGGAGGGGACAGTGTTATGCTCTGGGCAATGTTCAGCTGGGAAACCTTGAATCCTGACATACATGTGGATGTTACTTTTACACGTAGCACGTACCTACAATCCTTCATGGCACTGCTGGTCCGTGATGGCAGTGGCCTCTTTCAGCAGAATAATGCACCCTGCCACACTGCAAAAAATTACTATGAAATGGTTTGTGGAACTTGACAAAGAGTTTAAGGTGTTGCCTTGGCCTACAAATTCTCCAGATCTAAATCCGACTGAGAATCTATGGGATTTACTGGAACAGCAAATCCGATCCACGGAGGCCCCACCTTGCAACTTGCGGAACTTAATGGAATACTAAAGTCACCATGTAGTGGTTATGACATCTAAAGCCTGTTCCTGCAAAGGCAGTGTTTACATTGCTGCCGTGTAACACCTTTAGTGGCAGTCACTCAGACGGCCACCAGAAGTGCTGGTGCTTTCTAGTCCAGTGCTGCATATTGTGTAGCACCTACGTTCACAGTCTCCACGCTCTGCAAAGAAACCCTGAACGCTCCCCAGAGAGATGCATAAATTCAGTCCATCTCTATGAGCATATGCTAAATCGGCGCAGTGCTGTGTTTTCCTCTTACATGCACAATAGCCCCCCAATGATCTCAGCCATTAAGTTGGGCCAGCCACGGCAAGGGAGAAAAGGAACGTTTAAATACCTTTTTTAAATTCATAGAGAGGGAAACGTTAACCTAAACAGCCACTCTACAACTATAGTGTTAGGAATACATGTTTGTATCATAATGTTCCTTTAAAGCAAGGGTGCCCAAAATACACACTGAAAATGTTTCAAAAGCAGATATTTGGTCTAAAATTTGCAATTCTGTGGGTTTTTTAATATATACACACACACACATACATATACACATACACACACTTTACAGTTTAAAAAGAGTTACTGCAGGCACCATGACCACTATACTAATATTAAGTGGTTATGGTGCATGTATGTGCAGTGTTTGACAATTTGAGCTAAAACTTTGTGTTATAAATACTGGAGAAGAGGCCCATATGGGTAGCAACTAAAGATAAAGACCATGAATAAGACTGTATAACTTTGAAAACAGGTTAAAGGAGCAGATTATGCCAACAGGTGAAAGGAATGAGTGTCAGGGATTACTGAAATGGTTTAGATGACAAGTTTCAATATGATGTTTGCAAAGTACAAGTTATTTAAAATCACCTGCTTTCACTATCCCACTGTACTCAGGGTTGAAATTATACCAATGAATAAAACTTTGGAGTATTTCTTTAACAAGTTATTTTCAAACACCATAAACACTTCAGCAGCTGAATGTCATGGGGAATATCTAGAGAAACAGAATTACCAAAGTTTTCATTCCAATCATTTTTAGTCTCCCTTCTTTGCAGTGAACTGTTGCTTGAAAACTCAGACCCCTGCACTTCAAGTGCATAGGTAACATATGAACCAACCATAAACTATTTTGTATTTTTGTAGCTTTTCACCATACCATTAATTATTATTATTTATAAAAACGCCAACAGATTCCTCAGGACTGTAATGAGCTTGTGCCCATTTTAATGTTTGTTTTCGCTGGTGTTTTTGCTATACATTTGATAACCAATACAGAAAATATTAAAAGTGGAATGTACCTTGATTTTTGGTTTCCCAACATATTTTATGTGTACTCTGAGGTACTTCTGAGTTTTATTTCACAATCTAACTGAACATGTTGGAAAATGCTGACCTTAGGATACTTGCAGAGTGCATCTTATAGTCCTGCGCCACATTACCTCAAATTTAGTAAATAGAAAGTTTTACAAGAATTAAAAAATAAAAATAATAATAATTGCATGGACACTCACTATATGAGAATCAAGACCTCACCTTGTTTTACTTTATTTTTGATTAGTACCTCTAATCTAGCCAGGTGTCCCAGATATCATATATTCACTGTAACCTAAATCAGTGACCACTGTGGGTCCTTCCTTCTTCATCTGCAGTGATTTCCTTAATCTAATAATCATATTTTCATAATTAAATTAAAACTATGTAGACATGTAGTAATAACTTAAAGGACCGAGAGAAAATCCTTCTATTGGACTAGATATGCAGAAAAAAAAAAAACAACAACCCGGTAGCCAAGTATCCTATGGTCACCGGCTAAAAGTGATAGGACTTGCACTCCAACTACAGCTGCAAAGTAATGGGGGTTGCAGTCCTGTAGATTCTTTGCTGTTTCAGCCTGTTTGCAGCTTCCATAGAAATCAATTTATCACATCAACCCATTGATGGAACAGGATTAATAGTGTTACAGCCTCTTTTTTTTCAGATACATCAAAAGACCATCTATTGAAAAAACCCAAACATGTTTTATAGCAGCTGTACTGCTACAGGTGCAGCTGTAAGATTAAGATAAATAAAAATAATATACTCACAATTTCAGCCAGCAGGAGCAATCCAGGGGCAGTCCTGAGAAAGAGCTTGTCATAGGCGAAGCTGGCACTGCTCGAGAAATTCTCACTGTATGTGCTTGCTGTGGTGTTCACAGTCTGAGACCGGGGTCGTTCCTCGTCCATCTCCCCTAAACAGATCCCCCCCCAAAAAAAAATATTTAGATAGAATCCTTCATACAGCCTCGTACATCTCTAACCCCCTCCAACTGGGAATCAGATCTCTGATCTACAGTAATGATGCTCCAACAAAAAATATCACAACAGTAACTACAAAATGGGGGCTGCCTGTCCTATTTGTGCCCAATCTTAATCTAATTTACTGTCCATGGGTGTTAAAGGTACAGGGAAAAAAGTCTAAACAAAGAAGTAGTGAAGTGAATTCTCCTCCTCCAGGTTGGGGGCAGGGGGTGGGGCGGTGCACATGGTTGGTACAGTGATACATTGTGCAAGGCTGGAACGTTGACTTTGCAAAGTGGATTTTGATACATAAAGTTCTACTACCGGTAGTGAGTTTGCCACATAGTCCCTGGTCTTCATGTCTGCTGCTGATAGCGGTGGGGGCTCTGAAGGGAGAGTGTGTGATGATAAATTGGCTAGTCAAGCAAGCTGACGCAGGGTGATGCCATCTGTCATACTGAGAGGGAACACGTCTTGATTTATTGCCCTCCATTGAAAGTTCTATTGCCTGGGGTGGGGGGTGAGGGAGTCACTCCTGGCTGCTGTGCTGGTGGTTTCTATCCAGGAGGGAGAAGGAAATGAGCTGAGTTTTGAATGGGCAAGATGACAGTAAAACCAGGATGCGGTTATCCGGGTTAAATAATGTGGATTAATAATTGCAAGGAGGGAGTTTAATCCGAATCTATCAGAACTCCATGCTCCTTGTTATGGTCGGTAGTCAGGAGGCGTATAGCTTTAGAGCAAAACAAAATAATTGTTTGCTTTATTGATGTAGATTATTTTTAACCCGACCCGAGAGCTAGCTAATTTTGTCTAAATAAAAAATGGTAATAAAAGTAAAAATCTAATATTGTTTTCTAGTCTGAGAGCAGGAGAGGGAATGCAAAGCGTCACTTAAAGGCATAGTGTACACCAAGGTATAGTTAACTCTTTCATCACCTATAATTTGCTAGGCTGGTGATGAAATTAAACTCCTTGCCAGGAATGGGTTTACTGGTTAAAAAAAAAAAAACTTTATTCATCAAATGTGAAGCGTTATATATGTGTTTTTGGTAATTGTTCCTTTTACAGAACTTTGACCATGACATTTTTTTTAATGTACATTATAAGCCTTTTTAAATTATCACATTTAGGAGACTATGGAAATTGCTCCCAAATCCAAATGCTGATAATGGGATATATTCACTAAATTATGATTTGTTAGAGAAAAAAAAAAACGAATTCCAAGATTCAGGCCAAAATATCTGAGTTGGAAACATTTTCAAATCGGCTATAAACACAGTTTGGCTAGTTAGATGTAAATGTTACTATTCAGATTTTAAGACACCACAATTTGAAGTTTAGAGAACAAACTAAGAAGTCTCTTAATCTCATTGGAGTTACAATAACACCAAATTGTAGTGAATTGAAAACCAAACTGCAAAATCTAGGCAAAAATTCGACAGCTCTTACCTGTTTTTGCAAACATTTTGCGATTCAGTTTCCAATTCACTACACTTTCAGAGCCAATACAAAGTGAACTTCAAACTTAAAGGGACACTAGAGTCACATGAAGCAGTTGAAGCAGTTTTGGTGTTTAGCTCATGTCTCAGCAGTCTCCCTGCAGTGAAACCTCAGAGGCATGGTATAGACACAAAAATCGCATTATTAAGCTAATGTTGTTTTGGTGACTATAGTGTCCCTTTAAGGCCAGAGGAGCTGAATGCATATCTGACTGAGGTAATTTTTCCAGTTTGGGCTTTTTTACCTTTAATTTGAAATTCACTTTCATTTCACTTTGAATTCTCACTTTAGTGAATAATCCTGCATTCAGTGTGTGAATCCCATTATTTCTCCCTATGGGTGGGTGCAGCTTCATTTCCATTCAGTGTAATGGAGTTTGACACAAAAAACAATGCATTCCTCTTGCTGGGGGGTCTTTTCACTTCCTTCCTCTCAATACTGTGTATTGGGTATAAATCCTCAGGGTTTGTGTGCATGACATTGTTATTTATATTTTGAATTTTGATTAATACTGTACTATATTTGATTGCTAAATACTATAACTTTCCTTTTTGTTTAAATCAAACTACACATGGGGCACCATTAAAGGCCACTATACAACAACTTTCATATTTAAACCCATGGCATAAAATACATACGTAATTATACCAAAACACACTCCCCACAATCTGCTTGTAAACCAGTGAGCTTTACCAGTAAGAAACTGCATGGATATCACTAAAATACATAAAATATTCAATACGATGTTGCACCAAATATACCTAATGTATGATGGAGACAATGTGGTGAGTTTGGAAGTTAGAACTATGCTAATCTGTGTTTCGTGGGCCTCCCCCATTTTACATAAGTTCTGGTCACTTTTCCTGTTGAAACATGAGTAGCTCTTCTGGTCATGTACACTTCCTTCGCTCCTACAAAATGTTATTTCTTCCTGTCCCATGTTTTCTCAATAGCTAATCAATTATTGGGTCACAACTGTCGTAAGCCCAGCGTTCTGTGATAGTGCCTTCATGTTTGTATACGACATCACAAGAATGCTGTCATTGTTTGTGAGCTATATTTTGACATACACACATTTCATTGATGATCTGTTTTTTTTTTTATCTGGACTGGAGAAGAAAGATGGAAAAAGAAGAAATGTTCACATGACTGAACATACCTTGATCTGCACTATGATGGAACAAGTCAAATGTTTTGATCCAAAGTTCTTTCTACAGGATGGGTGTATCCAATACAAATTATTTCAAAAGCCTATTGATAGGAAAATAGTACTTCAAACAACTTGTGCCTGAATCAGAGAAATGTAGACCACTCATCCACTGTTATCAGATTATGAGAGTGCTAAGAAGTAGCTTGAAGGGGATCTTCAGGGTCACCAGCTAGTTGAGATTACGTAGTTGTATAGTCACATGATAATATACACTGAAAAAAGACTCAAGTCCATCAACTTTTCTCGTTCTACCAATGATCCAAAAGAAGGCAAAAATAAAATAAAAAATAAAGGAACTAGAGCGCAAGGAATACAAAACGCCATAGTGCCTCTCTGCCCTAAAGTTATTAAATCTTAACATAATAAACAAAAAAACTACTCTTTAGGCAGATAATACTCTTTATAACTTTGCTCACTCTGTACTGAACCATTTATTTTCTCATAGATAAAATGACCGTTCAAGGAGACATCTGACTGTTATTTTGGGGTCAAGAAGGAATTTTTTCCTAGTTTGTTGCAAAATTGGAAGCGCTTCAGACTAGCTTTTTTTGCCTACTTTTGGATTAACAGCAAAAATATATGTGAGGAACATATGTGAGGAAGGCTGAACTTGATGGACCCAAGTCTCTTTCCAGCAAAATTATATTTTAAAACCTAGTTGAGCACTCCCTTTTTTACTTGACAACATCTCACTGGCTTTTGCAACTGCTGAGTGACATTGTAGATGGCTGCCTAGTCTCTTAGTCTCCTTACGCATGCTCATTTATCAACCTTCCTAAGTCAGTCTAAATTTGTGTGTTCCTCATCTCAAAATGCAGAACTTATCTACATTACATTCTAGCTATCATTTCACTAACTTCCTGTCTAGCAAGCACAATATATAAATAAAACTAGAAGGCCATTACAACAGGAATGCGACAGAAATAATGGCCTCCCAGACAGTCAATTAAGTTGACATATATTATTAAGCAATATCTTTAAAACTACAATTAGTGAAAAAGTAATTGGGAAATACAATGGGTATACTATGCAGTATTTTGCTGAGACAGAGGTAGGAGACAGCAACCATTTTATTTTCAAGTGTTACTATAATCTGTGACACAAAAGTCTCTAAGTGGTTTACTATACACCAGGATGTATGTTGTTGATACAATGATAACATCATGCTAACCTGCACCAAATGTTCTAACCTGACAGCCCTGGATAAAGGAAGTCCCTAATACCAGGCTTGATTTGGCGCCACGAATTTTAAAATGACGCTTTATTTTTTTTTTATATTAAGCTAGTTTTACTAGACAATATAAAAGACACCATTGCCAAGCAATTCCAATGTGCAGACTACTAAAGATATTACCAGTTATGTACAAAAAAACTCACCTGTATAAAAATAACAATAAAACAAAACCAGTCAAAACTGCAAGCAAAACATACCTAATTTTGTGACGGTCCCAAGTGTATAAAAATCTATATTTGCATTGTGCTTTGTATTGTGAAGCAGAACTGTGACTAGTGATAATAACACAAACACACAGCGAAACAAGAAAAGAATGTTACTTATCAATAGTAAATAAAGAATACCTTGTATAGGGCCGAGAACAATTATTTTTTGGTCTATTTTTAAAATTCTATCTTATAACTTAATATTTATTTGATTAAAAAAACAAACACAGTTTACTGTAGTTTACAGAGACAGTGCTGAAATATTTAATTTAAAGGGACACTATAGTCACCAGAACAACTACAGCTCATTGAATTTGTTCTGGTGAGTAGAATCATTCAGAGAAAATGCGGTGTTTACATTACAGCCTAGTTATAACTTCACTGGCCACTCCTTAGATGGCTGTTAGAGATCCTTCCTGGGTCATGGCTGCCTAAAATGCATCCAAACATTCAGTATCTCCTCCCTCTGCATGCAGACACTGAACTTTCCTCATAGAGATTCATTGATTCAATTCATCTCTATGAGGAGATGCTGATTGGCCAGGGCTGTGTTTGAATTGTGCTGGCTCTGCCCCTGATCTGCTTCTTTGTCAGTCTCAGCCAATCCTATGGGGAGGCACTGTGATTGGATCAGGCTACCACTTCTGATGATGTCAGTAGACTGTTTGTTTTTCTGAGTCTAACAGCATGCAGAGTTACAGCTTCAGGCTTGAATACAGTAAGATATTGCTATATTTATGGAGGCATGAGGGGCTCAGGGGGGCTAGATGGTGGTTTTAACACTATAGGGTCAGGAATACATGTTTGTGTTCCTGACCCTATAGTGATCCTTTAATGATGTCATGTGACTGGGATCATTTTAACCAGTAGGTGTGAGCATCTACCCAAGTCCACCGTTCAAAGAAGACCCTTAGAGACCAACTTCATTGAAGAAATGAGCTAATAGTGGGAACAAAATCAGAAAAAATGTGGCACTGTTGT